TATAAAAAAAGAAGAAAAAAAAAAGAAAGAAAAAAAAAAGAAAGGAAAAAAAAGTTCTGAAAAAGCAATACCGATTCCGGAATGAACATTGGTTCAGACACTAGTCCACTAGTCTCAAATGATCTATGGGTTCACGGTTTAGAGATTCCAGAATTTAGCTGTCCATTCACATGTGTATAAACTTTACATAGCTGTTGCTTCGAAAATAAGCGAATTGTGATGATCCTAACTGGAATGTTGATTGATGTCTACGAATCAGATCTTAGTTCAGGTTCAGAACTTTCTCCCCCAGACCAATGCTCCTAATGGACATTCCTCCATCAGCCTATTCACGTGTTGAAAACCGATAAAATGTATAAGTTTGTGGTTCTTTCTGCAATATCCCCTATCAAATTTCCGTCCATTTTAGTAATCAGATGGGTGCATTTGACGACTTGTGTTTCACTTTTGTCGTCTGCACTATCACCAATGCTGTTACTGTCTACCCTCCTTAACCAAATCACCTGTGTGAATAGATTTGACTTGACGCATAACTGCCTCACTTTTTTGGTCTTTTCAAAATTTGTTCTATAAGTAATCAGATACAAAGTGGGTAAATATTCAGCTGAAACGCTGTTCTTTGCGAAAGTGACTAGAACTACAATAACAACCAACTTTCTTTACACACTAGAAAATACAGTGGTCAAAAGTAGTTCTTGTCTACGTAACCTGTATATTATGATGTGTCCTGCACTTGAGACGAGGGAATTTTCAGAACTGCCTACACATTTGGTTAAAACAACAACCGATACTTGTACTTTCACTGAACGTAGTATACTGGTGTCTGCGGTGTAACGATTCGGTGCTTCGCTTTCTCAAGCAGGAGACTCGAGTTCGATTTCCGAGTGGAGAGAACTTTTACAGAGTTTCTCGGTTTTTCCTATTGGGAACTTGTACAACTCCCAGCCTAGATTGGCCATGGCCTCTAAACGATCTAAATTGTGTCGATCGATTCTCAAACACACATATGAGCGTATTTTAAACAAACAAACAATAAACAAACGTTAAAAAAACTGAATTATCTGATGCCCCTTCCAACACGTTGATGATACAATACAAGGGTTTGCGCACTCCTTCATACTTGATAGCCTTCTGAAAAGTTGTTTGAGAAAGATTGCTGGAATATATTTTATTTCTAATAAGACCGTATTTTGATTTTATTGTGGTGTCCTCTGTACCTCCAGTGGGAAAGGCATCCTCTGACACCAGAGTTGACGGGTCCGTAAAGAAATGTTTTTGTAGAATCTGTACAACTCCCCCC